TTTCCCATAAGAAAAAATTTGGAAATAAATTAATCGGAAAATTTGCCCAAAAGTATGAAAAAAAATTTTTTTTTTTACCACATGAAATGTTAAATTTTAATACACAAAACTGAAAAAAGGAGGGCCCCCTTACATGCACTTACTTTTATTGAAGTTTGGGTTGATGATTGATGGGATGGGGGGGGGAGGGGAGGGGGCATTTTTCTTATTTTTAAAAGGGGGAAACCCCCCTTCCCCTTTAGGATTTGAGGGCAAGTTTTTTTTTGGGGTTCCCTTCCCTTCTTCTTTTTTGGCCACAGGACCAGCTTCAGAGTCACGGGGCCCTCGGGTCGCACAAACAAATTGTCCTTTGAGCTCTGTACCCCCCGTTTCTTAAAGGATTTCCTAAAAGGGGCCCCTAACATTGCCCTTAAAAAGTCACAAGCACGGCTTAAAAACAGCTGTGTCAGGGTTTATTTTTATCTATAAAGGGTTTTCAGTTCAAAACCATTGCACCATTTCCTTTAAACTTTGAAGTTGGCACAAAAGGGTTCCCAAACTGGCATAGGCTTTCGGGTTTGCCCCAAACCCCTTTAAAAAAATTTCTTAAAAATTTTCCCTTTCTTTAAATTTTACCCCCTTTTTCCCAGGGTTGGCACAGAAATTTCATTTGGGGGCCCCTGGTCACTTTTTTTTCCAGAAACACCCCGAAAACAAATGTAATTTTCCCAAATTTTTTCCCAGTGTATGCTTGGTGTTACCGCGGAGGCTGGTGGGTAAACAATGGGACGGCCGGCAATGTGGGGCCAAATTGGGCGCGTCTCGGAGAAAATCGGTTGCGGGTTTTTTAAAGGTTTTGCGGGGCAAAAATTTTTTCGATTTTTAAAATAATCGTTTTTGCGGGAAAAATTTCCCCATGCGATGCCAAACGTTATGCGGGGGGGGGGCCCCCTGTATCTGCCCTAACAAGGGCTTTTTTAGTGTATGTTTACTGATGTCAGCTTGGCCCGTATACCTTGACAAGTAGTGTAGTAATTAAAGATTTTATTTTTTTTTTACTATTATTATATTATTTTTCAGTTGGGTTTTTTTGGGTTATTTTATTCCAAAATTGGGCAATGTATGTAAAATTTTATTTTTATAACCCAAGGGGGAAAAACGTAAACCCCTAGGATTATACAGGGCCCGGGGGGGGGTGTGGAAGGCATTTTAGGTTAATTCGGGAACTGGGGGCCCCGATCCCCAAATTTCCCAAAACAAGAAACCCCCCCCAACCCTCAAGGAACCCTTCCCCGAGGGGTTTTTATGATGGGGAAAAATACTTTTAACGTACACCAAAAAAAGAAAGAAATCAGACCCTAAAAGCGGAAATTTTACCCCTCAAACCAAATTTGCAGCCGCTTAGCGGTTATTTTTGTATGTTTATGGTTATATTCTCGTTTTTTCCCGTCTCATTGATAGAAAGAAAGATTTTTACAAAAAATAGATATGATTTTGATTGCTTTTTTGGGTGAAAAGTACCTTGAAAAAGGGGCTACAGTAGCGAAAAGGGTTTGTTTTTTAGCGAAGCTCAAGGGTAAACAAATGACCCTCCGTCCAATACCTGTCTGCTGGGCCCGTGTTTAAAATTTTTAAAACGGGGGGTTTAAGAATGGGTTTTACTTATTTATACAAAAATACAATAAAAGCGCAGTTGTAACAGTAAATCTTTATTTTTTTTTTTTTAAAAAAAATTCCAAATGGTAAGCAAGGAAATTTAAAAGGGGGGGGGAGCCCTGATAATGAACAGGGAAAATATTATTTTTGTGCCCCCGGAAAAAGTTGTATTGTTTATTTTGGGGCCCTATTTTTTAAATTGGCATTGTTGAAATTTGTGTGAAATTTGGGCCCCCAAAATTTCCCAATTTTTTGACCACTTTATTGGGTAGTTAAAGTAAGTGAATGGGCGGTTTCTTGTACTCATTTGACAGACTAGAAGTAAATAAATTTATTCAGGTATACACAAATACAGTTACATAGATTATCATACATAGCAGTGTATGTATAGAGAACCTAAGATAACCCAGAAAAGTCAAAGTGATTTATTTCCAGTACCTGGCTTGGGCTTGCCATATATGATTTTTGGTAAATATTTTTTTTTCTCAGTTGTTTGTTGGGCTATCTCATTGAAACTTGGGCAATGTATGATGGAAACATGCTTCTTAATGTACAACAAAAATAAAAAAGACGGACGATAAATAAGGGAGTTCACTTCTCGGCCATTAGCCGCCTCTTTGCAATATATTTTCATATGGTTTATATGGTTGTATTCTTATTTTTTTAACTCGTTTGATAGAATGGAAGGTATATTACAGAAATGTTCGATTTTTGCAGATGTTCAATGAACTTTGTGTAAGTCAAGTTGGTTAATTTTATTAAGTGTATTGTAACCTAACCACTCAGTAATCCGGCACACTACAGGTCTCAATGATGCCGGATTTATGATGGAGGACCTGTACATATATTATTTACAAGAAGACTAGTCGATTTGTTAAAAAAGATTGTGGTATTTCATTAAGTGATACTACTACATAGTTGCTAAGAAAATAGCCAGGTACAGTAATTATTTTAATTTCATTTGTCAGCATTTCTTGCACATGGCAAAAACAAACCAAAAATATCACTAAGCTTGAACAATTGCTTATGAGTTCTTTTATTTTCCTGCAGGGTTGGCATATCCAGAAATTAAATTTTCTGTGTGCTTGTGGCAGAATTTATATTTTTTCTTAGAGTTGAGAGTTCACATTGTTTGAATTGAATAAGATTAAAATGAGTGAAATCTGATAAAAACTTGGGTTTTTATGGCGTGTTGAAGTTGGCTGAAATTGATGCAGTGTCGACAACATTAGTAAAGTGCCAATTAGTTTTTTTTTTTTTCTAAGCCAAATAAAGTTGCAATGTGTGGTGTAAATATTATGCAGAAAATTTGGAGTGTGGAAGTTAGGAGAAGGTGTGGAGTTAATAAAAGTATTAGTCAGAGGGCTGAAGAGGGGTTGTTGAGGTGGTTTGGTCATTTAGAGAGACTGGATCAAAGTAGAATGACATGGAGAGCGTATAAATCTGTAGGGAAAGGAAGGTGGGGTAGGGGTTGTCCTCAAAAAGGTTGGAGGGAGAGGGTAAAGGTTTTGTGGGTGAAGGGCTTGGACTTCCAGCAAGCGTGCGTAAGCGTGTTAGATAGGAGTGAATGGAGACAAATGGTATTTGGGACCTGACGAGCTGTTTTAGTGTGAGCAGGGTAATACTTAGCCAGTTTCCCTGAATCCCTTCACTATTTTTATATAGCCGGACTTGAGTCCTGAAAATGGGAAGTACAATGCCGGCACTTTAAAGGAGGGGTTTGGGATATTGGCAGTTTGGAGGGATCTGTTGTATTCTGAGAACCTCTGCAAAAACAGTGATTATGTATGAGTGAGGTGAAAGTGTTGAATGATGACGAAAGTATTTTCTTTTTGGGTTACCCTGCCTCGGTGGGAGACGGCTGACTTGTTAAAAAAAATAAAAAAAATATTGCATGAATGAGTCTTACTTGGATTATGATCAGAGGCTCATCTATAAAAATTTTCTTGAATGGATAAAAGAATTCACTGAATTTTTTTTTTCACTTGCATAATCACTTCCCATTATGTAGAGAAATTCATCTGGGATTGCTGTTATTAGAGAAATGCAACGTGCATAGTAATAACAGAAAGCAATAACTCCGTGTGATTTAACTGACAGCTATTATTGCTATACGTCTATCTGCACCCCAATACTTAGCCATGTTATTCTTATGGGAACATGGTAGGTGTGCCAAAGTACAGTGGACCCTCAACTAACGCTATTAATCCGTTCCTGAGAGCTCATCGTTAGTCAAAATAATCGTTAGTCAAGTTAATTTTCCCCATAAGAAATAATGGAAATCAAATTAATCCGTGGAAGACACCCAAAAGTATTGAAAAAAAAAAAAATTAACACATGAAATATTAATTTTAATACACACAAACTGAAGAAGACATGCACAGTTACATGACACTTACCTTTATTGAAGATCTGGTGATGATTGATGGGATGGGAAGAGGGGTGTGTGTTGATGGTCTTAGTGTTTAGAAGGGGAATCCCCTTCCATTAGGACTTGAGGTGGCAAGTCCTTTTTCGGGGTTACTTCCCTTCTTCTTTTAATGCCACTAGGACCAGCTTGAGAGTCACTGGACCTCTGTCGCACAACATATCTGCCCATAGAGGCCTGTACCTCCCGTTCCTTTATGACATTCCTAAAGTGTTTCACAACATTGTCAGTGTCACCATTAAACACTTGTTCAGGTTTCAGTCCTTCACTGTCTATGTACTCCTTGAATTCCTGCACATATTTTTCAGCTGCTTTTTGGTCCAAACTGGCAGCCTCACCACGCCTTATCACACTATGTATGCCACTACGATTCTTAAATCTCTCAAACCAACCTTTGCTGGCCTTAAATTCACTCACATCACCACTAGTTGCTGGCATTTTTCTAATTAAATCGTCATGCAACTTCCTAGCCTTTTCACGTATGATCGCTTGAGAGATGCTATCTCCTGCTATCTGTTTTTCGTTTATTCACACCAATAAGAGTCTCTCAACATCTTCTATCACTTGCGATCTCTGTTTCGAAAACATAGTTGCACCTTTGGCAAGAACAGCTTCCTTGATTGCCGTTTTCTTGGCCACAATAGTAGAGATGGTTGATTGGGGTTTTGTGTACAGCCTGGCCAGCTCGGAGACATGCACTCCACTTTCATACTTAGCAATGATCTCTTTCTTCATATCCATAGTAATTCTCACCCTTTTTGCTGTAGGGTTGGCACTAGAAGCTTTCTTGGGGCCCATGGTGACTTATTTTGCAGGTGCAATCACTAAAAAGGCTGTGATAATATGAAATGTTCCGATTGTATGCTTGGAAGCAACCGCGGTGGCTGGCTGGCTTGTAAACACTGGCCAGAAGTGGATGCGTCTCAGACAGAACGAATAGTGTTGGTCGACTTTTTTAGCGCTAATCGAGGCAAAAATTTTGCGATAAAATGTATCGCTAGTCAGATTTATCATTAATCGATGCCATCGCTGGTCGAGGGTCCACCAATATTGCCTAGTTTTGGTGGTATCAATCAACCTGAAACTGAATAATTGTATTGGTGGGCATTGACCATTTTGATATCAGAATCAGTATTGGCTAATTTTGACGGTGTCAGTATCAGCAAAAAAAATTAGGTATTCTAGCCCTAGTATGTAGCATCAGCATTAGTGTTGCAGAGAATAAATACAGCTCTGCAGCAATAATGTCTTTCCACTTTCAAAGCTGAGATTTCACTTAAATATAATGTTGGCCACTGTATACTTGTAATGGTTATTTTTTTAATCATCAATAATTTTCAACAGTGTATTACTGAAGAATTGCCAATAGTAGTCAAGTTCAGTAGAACTGCCCATAATTGGACAATTTGGTTGAATTCCACTGTTACTATCATCAAACTGAAACATTTGACACAAGTGAGGTACTATTTGCATTCTAGTTCCACATCCTTTTGGTCCATAGTTGTATATTTGCCGGTGCTGCAGGGCTATTGATTCTAGTAGTCAGTGTTCTTGGCACAGCTGATGGTGCCGTCATATCTGAGGGTAGTGTTAGTGTTGTCACGGCTGAGGGTGGTGGTGTCATGGCTGGTGGTGGTGTCACAGTTGGGGTTGTCGTCATGGCAGCTAATGATGTCACAGCTGTTGTCATGGCTGAAGTCACAGCTGTTGTTGGTGCTGCATGTGTTTTTCTAATGTAAGCACCATCAGTTTTACAATCACTATCTCTCTTTCCTGCTACAGTATCATCTTGTCTAGATGCCTTAACATACAACAGTGTAACAGCACAAATGAGAACTAGAGCTATCGTGATGCCACACCAGGGTTTATTTGTTGGGGGAATATTCTGTAACATTACATTGAATTTGGTGTTCTTCCTCTTATAAGTAGACTCCTGGCTGTCCACACTTTAAATTTTCCATCACAATTGCCCAATTTTTGAGAAAGGAGCCTTCT